GGCCTAAAAATGAATGTATGGATAATATTCCTTCTTCGGAAGAGGTAACTAATAGATCTGTAAAATTTGAAAAATAAAAAGGTGATTGTAAATTACTGAAACAAAATAAAACTGAATTTTAGCACGAGACATGAGTAGATTTTGAAGGCATATAAAACTGACTTGTAAAATGATTTCATATCTGGAATACATATTTTTGGATATAAACTAACAGAACAGCCTGACAGATTTGAACAACTAAGACATAGTATCTTCATAGTGCACTTACAGCTTCTGAAATTGTGATTCAATGGGATTCGACGATAAAAATGGAGTATACTGATTATTTTGCTTCAATGATGATGAAGGTGATGTAGTGAGCTGCAGCATCTGAGTACAAAGAACAGGGTAAGAGGAAAAAAAAGGAGTAAAACATTTAATGTATGTAAGAATCACACACCAAAATTGGAATTACCTAACCGAAAAGGCAAATCTTCCTACATCTTATCTTATTTATTCATTTCCTCCAGAAATGCTCCAAATGCATTTTGATTTCCCAAACAGAGCTGTTTAAGTACTTATGTGATAAATCACTACAACATCAAGTTTTTAAGCAAATTATTGCGATGGCCCTATTGTCGTCATTTTTACTTCTTTTTTTTTTAACTTCTAGGCAAATAGGTTAACAGAAACACATATCAATATGCTCATATGTCCATAGTTGCTAGTTCACCAAGATTACCCAAAAAATTGCACGTTAACAACAAAAATAAGCAAATGTGCAGCATATTAATACCTGATTATTACTGTAGCTTAAGGAAGCTTTGTGACTCGAAGAAGATAAATCGGAAATCTGGTTAGAGCCACTAAACTGATTAAGTTGAGTAGCAGATTTAACTTTTTCCTGTTCATCTAGCTGACGCCGCACTTTTGGTTTTAAAGTCTCTAGCTCATCTAGCACAGCGAGCAATTTCTGCACACCATAACACCGAGAAAATTACCAAATATCTTAATCATCGCATGAGCATGTGAAATCACCAGAACACGAATGTTACCTTCTTATATAAATTTCTTTCTTTAGGAAATAAAGCCAGGTAATCACGATGGTATGGTATAGTTTCAGACACCAAACTGTTTTAATTCAATATATAATGTAACAGGATTAGTAACTGGAAATAATAAATTCAGAAATTAAACCGATTATGAATTCAGACGCGGAATCAATTTTAAACATGTACCTTGAATATCTAAGCAGTATAACATACAAGTCTATCAAATTTTTCTCATCCCTATAAATATTTGCCTGCAAAAAGAATGGCAAAGAATCAGTCATCCCATAACAAAATCAACTATTAATTTTCAGATATTTAACTGCCCTTCTACACTAATTCGTAGAACATCATATAAATACAAACACATTGTATATGAAACGAGAACATATTATTAAGTCATTAGACGCCCCAGACAGCAAAAAAAAAAACGAATAAAATACTAAGGAAATCAGCTGACTCAAATCAACTGAAAGCAGAAAATTACAGCAAAACAGAGGCAACAATATAAGTGACAAGTATCAAAAACTGATACAACAGAAGAAATAACTCGAAACACAAACATATCCAGCAAAATTCAACTCAGCTTAAGAGATAAGACAACATGCAATCTGCTGAATTAGGTTTAGTAAAAATATAATTCCCCAAAATGCATTCATTAAAAACGTGTTTCATTCTAATCGTTTCTCCTGATGAAATAAATAAGAATCCTCGTTGCGAGTAACTACCTGTTTGAGAAGATTATCGGCGATGCGATAGTAATTCCGTAGAGCGATCCGATTGTCAACATCGATCTTCCTAGCCATAGCATTGAAATTGATCGACGGTGAAGAGTACGCCGGCCGCCTCATCTTTTCAGCTAAAATCCCGGCGAGGAATTGATTCTCCGGCGAGACGCAAAGGGAAGGGGGTTTCAAAAGGTTAAAACTGGGTCGTTTTGATGTTAAGAGTGTTTAAATAGCTTTTATATATGTCGACATGGTGTATCTATCTATATGGGTTGACCCTTAAACTATAATATTTGAAGCTTAATTCATAAGAGTGTATCTAATTTAACTTTATATTTTAATGTTTAATTGTGATATTTTTTGACAAAAAATTAATCACAATATAAATTACTATAAATCTTTTGATTATAACAAGGGCTTGATGGGATTAATAAGCTGGTAAATTACGGTCACCCTTGAGGTAAGGTCAAATTACGGAAAAAAACTCATCTTTGGATAATTACAATTCAACGATGAATATTATTCCACATCCACTCTTCCGAGTTCCGATGTCAAATTTAGTGGAATCTTTTAGATTATGTGGAATATTCTCCAGTTTGTAATTGCTTTACCAGTTCGAGCTCCACATGTTGAAATAAGATGTGTATTTTGGCTTGTAAATATCCGATTATCAGAAACTGCATTTTTGCACAAAACGAGTACAAACTAGAGAACAGTTCACGGAAATTTGACATCATAAGTGTGTACATGTAAGAAGATTTATAGTTAAAGATTAATTGTAATTATCGAAACATGAGAGGTTTTTCCATAATTTAACCGTAATTTATACTAAACAAATTAATCATACACTGCACAAACACTAATCCAAATCATGTTGGAATAACAAAAAAAATGGCTTCTTTATACCAAAAAACACAAAAGTATACACACATATCACTAGAAAAACAGAAAAAAAACAAGATTTTTTTTACTAAAAAAAATTGCAATAATTTCTGTAAAATACTAATGCACAAAAGAACTTAGTTTCTGATTCTGAGATTGAACTAAGATGGCATAAAGAAGCTCGTTCCAAGAATCTGGCACACCGGGCAAGCACCAATGACTGCAATCTTGAAAAACCCTGTTTTTAATATTCGAAGACGATCGTCTGAAAATCGAAGGGTGCCCGTCTTTTCTATAGTCCGTCATCTTCGTTATGTTTAGGTAAAAAACGGGTGTCTTCATTTTCATCAAGACGGATTCGAGCGCTCTCATCATCCATGGATAAGGAGAAAGCTGAGTTTCGTTCGTAATAGGTTTCGTTTCTCCGTCACAGCTTCCACCCGAATTCCACTGCCCCCCCCTAAAAATTTCGAAATTTCATTGCATTAATTATAACACTTCAAATTCAATAAATTAAACACTCCAATAATAATATAAAAAAAAAAAATTTTTACTTGAAATGAGAAGCCGAGTATCCTCTAAAGAAGACGCTCGTTTTGCTGCTGTCGATATTTTCGTCGACCCATTGTGCCCATGTTTTCAATGCCTTTTTATACGCGTCCGCTACCGCGAGTTTGTTGTACACATGATTCCCTTCTTGAAAATAGTATTTCCTAACAAAAAATTAAAAAAATAAAAATAAAAAAATAAAAATACATGCATGCAATTTAAATGTGACATAATTCATTTTTACCCTTGAAAGGTTTTCTGATGAGTCCACCAGTGACCTGTGTTGAAGACAATGACATCAGCATCATAGTACTTGTTGTAAGAGCCTTCCATCATATCCAACCGAAGCGTTTCTCTTCGAGTTCCGGCCTTATCCAAAAACTTCCATTCTTGAACGAGGAACGGAGATTTTACGAAATCGATCGAGCAATTGAAATCCTAATTATTACATAGTAAAAAGAAGAAAAAAATATCAATTTTCAAGAACAGTTTGTTCCAATATATATTTTTAATTTAATTTTTCGATAACTCACCTTGAATATGAAAGAATAGAAGCCTTGGCTTCTGAATTGGCGCAGGCCCGAAACTTCGAAAACTTTCGTCTTATCGGAAAGCGATTCCCTCATAGCACAAACCAATGATTCCCACATGTTTCTGTTTAGTGAATCACCCACAAAAACCATTCTTTTTCCCTTTAGTAATTTCAGCATTTTTACCCCATCAAACCTTCATATTTTTTGCAAGAAATAGTAATTATTATTATTTTAAAAAAAATAAAAAATGTTGAGGTGTAATACTAAAAAAAAAAAAAAAAAAAAAAAAAAAAAAACCTTGGAATTTTACAAGCATGGGGTTTCCATTTGAGCTTGAGGTAGTCAGAATCAGGGCGGCCATTCTTGAAACAATCGAAAGAGTCGTCGACAAACGGGCAAGAACCCGGTTCGTAAACGGGTTTGGATCCTTCATCGATAACCCAACTGCCATCGAATATGTCGCACGAATCGAATTTCTCTTCTGCGGTTTTTTCGGCAGGGATAGTGATAGTAGTACTGCAAGCTGTGTAGCTCTGAGAAGCGAGGCGGGCGCCGGAGAGAAACGCCGGCGGAGGAAGCGGCGTGAGTTCGTCGGAGGGAGAGCGGCGGCGGGAGGGGAGACTTGTGGAGGAAATGGCCGGAGGAGAGGCGGGGCCGCCGTCGGAACAGGCGGAGAAGAGAAAGAAGAAGACGATGAGTGTGAGAGTGAATATGGTTGTGAAGAAATAGTGGGTTCTTGATTTTGAGAAGAAATAGTTGCAGAGATTCTTGAAAGAATCCATTGATGGATGAGCTGAAGGTTTTTTTTTGTTTTGGAGAAGAAGAAGTGGCGGTTATGTTCGTTTTTCTCAAGGTTCTTGATTTTGTAATTTAGTGTGGATTATTATTTAAATATATTCTAGTTTTTTCAATTTATAATTTTTTTTTGACGATTAAATGACGGGATTTTACATTTTTGCCCTGCCCCTAAATGCAATTTTTGCCTTTTTGGATAGATGAAATGAAACTCGATTCTCGATTCGAAATCGTTCATTAAAAACTCACACGGACTTGTGTGTTAATATAACGAATCAAACTTGAATACATTTTTTCGTTCGATAATCTATGAAATTCGGCTAATAAAATATAAAAAGATCGAGCTCGATTCATATTCGACTAGATAAAAGCTCGTTCAAGCTCAACTGAATTCCAGTATTCTCTCATCAAACAAAGACTTGCATTACTAACAAATTATTGATTACAACATTTTCCTTTGGCACAATACAAAAGTACATTAAAAATCAAGAAACAACTTAACTCGATCAATTCGAGCACGAATTAGAGCAATACTCTCCATGCAACAGTCATCGCTAAAACCACGTAAACCACACGATCAAATACCCTGTTCTCACTAGCATCACCGGCTTGTATATGCCCAATCACATCAAAGTTACCTGTAACAACTCACTCAAAAAACAATTCGAAAAACCAAAAAAAAAAATTTAATTCAGATAAAAGAAACAGATGATTCAACATAACTACCTCTTTTAGGCCCATATCCACATCCAGACTTAATAGTCTCCCTAACATCATTCAGAGTGGCACTGTTGTAAAATACGAAACGTTTCAAGATTCCGTTTATACAGTCCAATGCATGGTTTGTCTCAGCTAGGCACGGCCCATTACAGTATTCATCAGCATATTCCGGTGGCACATTTAGCTCCCCCTTTTGTGTGAGTCTGTGAGCTTCATCACAGCTGCTGTAAATCTGCACAATGGGGTTCGACCGGGTTGACGGGTCGGTCAATCGGGTCGTTGGACAAGATGGAAAATACTACGGTAACTTACATATTTGTTACTGAGACATTCGAGGGCTTTGTTGAAAATAAGAGCGGGAGTGGTGCCTATTATTCCAGTTTGAGGAAAAGACTGATCTACCCCTCCTTCGACTTCTGCTTGAGGCAAATACTGGTCTGCAACTACGCCCGCAGCACCTAGGTGGGGATAATCGTATGCTATTCCTGTAAGAAAATATTAAATATCATCGAAATATTTTCAGTCAGTATATAAAACGAGTTCCTTCAATTTGCTTTTCTGATCGAACATCCTTACCAAATTTGCAAGCCGAAACAAATACGTAAAACAGAATTGACAATAGAAGCCATTGATTAGTGAATGCTGAGACCAACATTATTCACTTCAATTATGGTTCAAGTATATATATGTATATACGATATGAATCAAATAGACCAGTTATTTCCTAGTTACACATGAAGAATCGGGGATGTCTGAGAAAAAGTGATACAGATAATCTAAATCAAGAAACACTGTCTGAAAAAAAAAAGTGAGTAGATTATATAGGTGATCTGCTCGAGTAATGGTCATAACTTGACAACAAAAAGGTGCCAATTGGGAAAGGATGGTTGTACTATCCTCACCAACTTCTACATACCGAAAAAAGAAAACGAAAAAAATAAAACCTGCACTTAAAACCTTATAGTTCAAGTAATGGTTTTCTTTTTTAAGTGGTAATTGTTTAATATAACAAGAGAATGATATTTCCTATCTACACTCAACTTCTACAACACATCAGAGTTTAATCGTAATAAATTAACTAAGCTCCACAATTCATTACACGTACAAAATTGCTTACTTGTAACGCCCTTCTCTTGGAATCTCAGCCACACATCTTGGACTTACTGAGATCAATCTAAAATCCATTTTTTTCAAAAACGGAACCCAAAGCTTGCAAATATTTTCAATACTGAAATTCAACCAACCAAAGCACTATATTTAACAGGTATTGTTCTCAAATCCATTCCTTTCTCTTTGTATTTCAACCATAAATCTTGGGCTTCTTCGAATCTCCCCGTTTTGACCAAGGCATCGATAAACGAATTGCATGAATAAGCATCAGGTTTACATCCATTCGCCTCCATCGAAGCAAACAAATCTTTAGCTTCAGTAAATCTCCCAGATTCACACAAAGCACTAACAAAAGCAGTGTACGTAAAATTATCGGGGCGCAAGTTCAAATTCAGCATGCTCATGAGAAGTCTTTGTGCCTCATCGATTTTATTGGCTTTACAATAATTCTTAATTAGAGCATTAAAAGTATAGACATCGGGTTGTATTCGATCGACTTTCATCTTTCTAAGCAGCTTCATTGCTTTAGAAATATCCCCACAGATACACAACGAACGTATTAAGGTATTGTATGTGATGGCATTAGGCGTAATTTCCCACTCCACCATTTCGAGGAAACAATCAAAAGCTTCGCTAATCCGATTAAGCTGGCAAAGAACATCAATTATCGAACTAAAAGTGAATACGTCTGGTCTGAAACCGTGATTAAAGAGCATAAGCAGCAGTTCTCGAGCCTTATTTACGTCCCTGCCCTTGCAATAGCCAGAAATAAGGGTGTTGAAAGTAACAAGATTAGGGCAAAAACCTCTTTTCGACATCATCCCTAAGATTTCTAATGCTCTCTCCATCATTTTCGCTTTGCAGAAGCAATCAATCACCATATTATACGAAAAGACATCCGTTAAAAGCCCTTCATGTATTATCCAATATAAATACTTATTGCCCTTCTCTTCTTTTTTCGATTTATACAGAGCCTCAACAAATGTCAAACAAGTACTTAAATCGACCTTAACCCCATTCTCGATGAAACTCTCAAACACCTGACAAGTTTCCTCAAGATCCACTCCTTTGATTAAACAAGTAATCGCAATGTTAGATATCGAACTATCGGGAACATAACCTTTTTTATCAGCTATCCTAAAAAACGCCGACGTCTGCTCCGGTAAAGAGTTATTGCAAAGGCAATAAACTATACTGTCATAGACCACCTTAGGAAGATTTTGCTCCTTATCCACCCATTTAAATAGCAAATCAAAAGCTTCACAAGGAGACACAGATCGAAAAACTCCATTGACGAGTGATCTATACGTTGCGTCATTTGGCTTTACATTCTTCGCCTTCATTCGATCAAGAAGCTTGAATGGCTCGTCTATTATTTTACCGTTAAAATACCCATCGATCAAGATAGTATAAGTGAACACATTCGGTGAGTACCCTAATCCTTCCATCTGTTTCACTAGCCGAAGGGCCTCATCAACTACACCGGCCTTGCAAACTCCATTTATAAGGATGTTATACGTAAATCTGTCTCTAACACAGTTATCCACCTCCATTTGCTGAAATTTGAGGTAAGCCAAATCGAGCGAATTGGACTTTACTAGACCATCTATTACGGCATTGTACAACCTCGTACTGGGAAAAATTCCTAAATACGAAACCTGTTCGAATACCTCGGTGCAGTACTTCGCCAACCCTAATCTGCCCCAACTATCAATCAACGCACAAAGCAATTCCTCGTTTACGCTGCATCCCGAATTCTTCACTTCCTGTATCAACTCGGCGGACAATAAGACTGGGCCTTTCCTAAAGAAGGCGTTGCTCAATGCGCTGAGAATTGATTTATTCTTAGCTAATAAAGCATTGAAACTGGAAAGCCAAACGTAAAATCGCAAAGGAGCTAAACCCTTATCCTGGTTATGCAAAATGCTAACGGCAATCTGCGGACTCAAATTGATCCTCTGCGCCTTGAACTCGTGGCTTAGCAGCAGATACCAGTCTTTTCTCGACAGAATTTCGGCGAAGTAGCGATGATCAATCGGCCTCGAGCTTAATTTTGTATCGCCGGCGGAAATGTGGGGTTTAGGAGTAGAAATTGAGTTTTTGAATTCAAACGCACCAATGGAAGAATCTATGGAGTTTTGAGGGAGATTTTCGCTAGGTTTCAATAACGAGGGTTTTGCGAATTGGGGATTTTTGGGGGTGTGAATTGCTCCGGCGAGGTTTTGGATTTCAGGTGTAACCCTAGAAGCTAAAGATGAAAGCTTTCTCATAGGGAAAAATACGGCAATGGAGGTTTTTGCTCTCTGTCATGAAAACGGGTTCTTTATAACCTGAACCGGCGGCTTGTCGATTAGCTATATAAACCGGTTTGAACATTTTTCTCTAAGAATATTATTTTTAAATATTGAACGATTTTTATAGAAACTTAATTATTTCTTGAAGAGAAAAAATTCATTGCCATCTTCACTCTAACCAATATCATACATCAAATTTCAATTTTTTCTCTCTTAATAATTAGGAAGTCAAATACTTTATATAAGTTGGTTTAATCTCATTTTGCACCCCTTGAAATATACTATTTTGGTATTTTGCACCCTTGAAAAAAAGTAATAGCATTTTGTACCCTGCAAAAAAATTAATAGCACTTTGCACCTTAAAATATACTATTCGCACTTTGCACCCATAGAAAAAATTAATAGCACTTTACGCACTTGAAATATACTGTTTAGCACTTTGCACCCTTGAAAATAATTAATATCACTTTACACCCTAGAAATACAATAAATCATTCATAATGCACTCCGAATGGATTTTTAAAACTAATGAAGGCAATTCAAACACAGTTATACTTCGTATTGTCATAATAAACTTTGTGAAGTGATAAAAATGTGTAAAGTTGAAATATTTATTACCCGTTCAAGTAAGAACCACCAAGAGTTCTTTAATTACAAAATACCCCCAACAATATTTTTTTCTTTCACGAAACAGTAAGTATATTGAGATTTTGTAGAAAATAGAAATACAATAATTTGCAATTAAGATGTACACGCTGGTCTCGTGAGAAGGCAGTGTTGATGAGGAGCTCTCTGCAAATAAGATACGATAATAATACATAACATCAAAATATTAAAACAAATCTAAAAATATAAATTATGCAGTTCACTGAAATAAAGAATTAACCTTTAATTTTGGCTGTAGTGTCTCCATAGCCACAGCTCCTGCACCTTGCTGATAAATTAAACCAAGTTATTCACTATTTATATAAAAATATAATTTATATTCAAAATAAATAATAATAATAATAATAATATATCTTCAAATAAAAATTCATTAGTTGCAAAATTAGTTTCCAAATAGTTTTATTTTTAATTACCTTGCACAGAGCCCAATCAGCTGAGTCAAAAAAGGCCCTCTCGTGGTCCTGTATTTCAGAAAAAATATTATTATTTATGAGAATAAAATCCAAATAAAATAAATAAATATATAGCTAATAAAAATTTTACAAATAATAAATCTTTACCTTTGAGATTAGAGGCTTCTTTTTTGGTACAAGTCCCCCATACTTTTTATCAATCGGTGCAGTCTGTGTTATGAGACAAAAATTAGTACATGTCATTTAAATTACCAAATTTGGCCAAAAAATATCAAAATTCAAAGATTTTTATTCTCAATTAACTTCCATTCGAGAATGTAACAAAGAAGAGAAAAGAAAAAGGTTACGCAAAGAATATTTACTTTTATTAATTTACAAGGAATTTCCAAATTTGGTTTGTCATTTTCTCATTTCAGTATATACTTCGATAATATCCTCAATTTGCATAAAATTCTCATTTTCGT